TTATACATAATCCGGCTAACAAATACATGAATTTATTGCTTTAGATTTATGAAGCAGGGATGAAAAATGAAGATGACGGAATATTTATTACTTTTAAAATATGCGACATGACAACACTGGCTACGATTGGGAACTAATATTATGATTGTTGTGGGAATTCATGTTGGTATCATAAATATCTGTTACGTTATTCTTCTAGTAGGTTCGTTGTTCGGAGCATATGCCTCTAGTCTCGACATATTTTGCTCTAGTCTCAGGGCCTGGATTTTTCTGCCATCGATGGAATTCTGCCTGTTTGTAAGCGACAGCTCTGGAGCAGTTTTTACTGAACCAGACCTTATCGAAAGATGTTCTCCTCGCAGAGTTCGGTATGTAGGTTTGCATCCCCAACATGATGACTTCAGAAATTGTCTCAGCACATCGTGTTGGATCTGCTGGGGAGAAATGAACTCTCTGCCATGGAAACGCTGAAAGAAACATACGAAGGCCTTTCCAGTCGGCCGAATTGTAATGCCTCATGAGACGGGTAGGAATTGTGGAGATGAGGGTGTGGTCAGAGTTTCCAAGTGGGGCACAAACTTCTATTCTATATGGATCAGGATTGCTTGTTCTCTTTCGATGTTATATCGTCTTTGGTAGGTTTTGCAATTACTTCACTATCGCATCCATTAAGTGCTATTGAGAATATTCAGGTGGAATATTTTGAAGATGAAATTAAAAAATGTACTCACTTGATTTTTCCACACTTAAAATATGCTCTGTTATGATAGGAGGGGGCATCATTATCTGATCTTCATCCAAGCTGTCTATGAATAAAATGATACATATAGACATGAGGTGTACTACAACAGCTCTTCTCAACAGTTTCATTATCAGCTAGGAACGAATCAAAATACTTCGAAAACTTTTAACATTCCCTATTAAGAGTACTTAACTATACCTTATTATCAATCCTCATTCAAAAAATTGAATGTAGCTAATAGTATCAAGGAACTCTATCTTTTATTGTTGCTAAGACTTTGTGACAGAAGCGGCAACGTCGCAATTTCGAAAATATCCTGATCGATAGAACAGGTGATGGAATGTGATATAATTGCCCGTGAGTCACCATGAATATACCATCTGAAAATATAACAGGTAACTTCAAGACTAATAACTGTTGATAAACACTCCAATAATAGGTCAATGATATTTCCAAGAGGGATAGTGCAATAAGTTATTGCAAGGAATGTCCCCTGAAAAATTCCTTTGTCAAGTTCCTAAAGGGTTCTTCCAATCTACGCCAACTTGGTACCTGAAAAGTCATGAATTTAATTTTTCTACAATCGTCAAATTACGACAAGGTTCGCGCATTGATAACAATTTTCTGAGTGAGCATGGTTTTCATTTTACTACGTTACCGCGAAATAGTATGTGAAATAAATATTTCGCGCACTGTGATCAAGCAAAAATCTGAGATTCATTCTAATTGAGCTTAGCATTACTTTTGTAGAGAAAAAAATATTTGCAGCTCGTTCACGAAATACTTTGGTGATCTCGACTAATTCTTAAGCTCGGCTATGCCTTGTGAAAAAATCAGTTCTTGATTACCGGAAGTATCTTTCCGCGCATTATATACAGAAATATCTATTTCAATGACCTACATTTCATAATTTAATGTAGCTGTATCATCTGCAGCATCAGCAACTTCATTATCATCAGTATTGCATCTAGTGTCTCCAGCAATATCTATGTCACCTAACTTTGGTGGACTATCAATTTGTCTATCATCACCATCAGAGTCATAACAAATTGAATCATTGAGATGTTTTCATGGCTATTCTACCAAATCTTTTCAATCTGATTATTTCATTATCAGAACTAGAAGAAATTGTTTCTTTAGATTTTTCAAAAGACAAGGCCTCTTCATAATCATCTGGAAGAGGAATTTCATGACTAAGATAGCTGAGATGGCACAACATAAAAAACATAACCTATTAAGTATATATTGTATATAAGATAGCACATAGCACTAGAATTCTACCAATAGAACTATGTATTTCTCAAGAGTTTATTCACAAAAGGTAGGTATGCCTCCTTTAATAAAAATTCGCGAATGCTTGTTTAATATATTATACCGGATCTTCAAGCATACCTGTTCCCTGTTCTAATAGAATGTCATTCATTTCTGAAGATTATATTCAACATTAACCCATTGTTGTGAGAGACAGATTATGAAGGAACCATTTAATTCAAGCTTACACAACATTTCGTAATCACCTACAATTAATTCAATCTGAATTAGAAATGTAATTTCGAGAAGAATTATTCAAAGACGGGAAGAATATACAGGGCATATTGTGAAATGAAATGAGATAAATGCATTGGGATAATAAAGCTACCGAGAATCGAATATGGATATCAATATGAAATCCACTCTCAATCGTTCGAATTAATCATTCATCAGTCAGCTCATTGAAAGATCATCGAAAATACTGCTTAAGCTGGACTGATGGATTGAATAATTTCATCACATAATTTATACCCATTTCAACTTACCAAAATATTTTATAACTTATCTAACTTTGTATAGCTTCCACGACTGAGTGGGTTCACTACCACTAGAAATGTGTTTTCTCACTTTCGTGTCGAACCAATGGCACATATGGTACTGACTTCAGATATCACAATCCATGAGGAAGGCACAGTTGAAATTGAATCATCTTCATCTTCAAACAGCACAACGCTCCACTAAAAAAAATCATTTACATATCAAGTTCCGAATTCGAGTAATAATTATATCAGTATTTGAAAAATGAATGAGTAAATATGTATATATAATTACTTATGAAATTCTCCATCCAGAAATCGATTCATTCTCTGAATCAGATTTTTTGGCTAGTTCAAGTTAATTAAAATATCGACATTCAAACCGCAACACCTCGTAAGTTCTGAAATCATAATTTCACAGGGGATACAAAAAACGTATCACCACGTTGTTTTTCTCATTCTGAATAGTTAGTTGACGAGTGAGGAGTTGAAAAATGCAAATGAGACACTGCGTGATGTTAAATCATCTATATTTTGTTATCTGTGTTCGTATCTAGAAAGTAAGTTACGAGGTTTTGCATTCACTGCATTCGACATTACGAGGAATTGCATACTAAATTCGATAATAACATGAAGGTAGTTTATATCATCTAGTAACAATGTGTTATCAAAATCGCTTTGTGTGTGTTTTATAAATGCTGTATATCAGTAAAAATTTAATTATATTTTGGAACAAGTAGAGTGAATACAAATTATCAGGAGAATTAACAAACAAAACTTTCATCTTACTCTAAATAGGTGAACTATTCATTAATATCGATATCATCATAAAATTTCCAGCAGTCTCTTGGAATCACTGATTTAATTTGTTGAAGATGTTCATATTCCGTTTTCGAAATAGCAAGCCTTTTTTTATGGAGTTAAGGAAAAACTCTTTCTTCGAAGCGATCTTCTTTGGTCTTCTTGGAAGAACTTCTAATTCGTCATCAAAATTGATTTTGTATTGAATTTTTCCACCACTATAATGAAGTACCCAGATATCCGTAACTGTTGGATCACTGGAACTTTTCCCAGGTCTGATCGTGTCGTATTTCAATAGTTCTTTGGTGCCAAAATCTTGAAAAAAATCGTAGTCCATATTCTCTACTTCATATGGAAACGGTTTAGTACTTGCTCCTTTGGTTATTTTGATGTAATCGCTGGGCAAATAGATGTCCCTGTTCTTCAATTTACGCTCAATGGTACTGTGAACTGAATCACACTCCATTTGAGTGTGACCTTTCACGAGGAATTTTTGAGTGATATCTACCTCGAACTTCTCCGAAAGGTGAAGCAGCTCATTTGCGATTTTAGCATTTCGGTTCTGAGCAGTACATCCATCAGAATAATTTATGATTGGTTTGCGATCTTTTTCGATGTATTCCGTTGTTGAGTAATGCACAAGAAAAGAGGCAAATGTATTCGCTTGGCAGTCAGTGATGGTTTCATTGTACCAATAACAAGTACAATTATGATTTGCCAAGTCATAAACGGTAAAATTATGGTTGCAGAGCTTTGTTTTGAAATAAATTGCAGTAGCGTTAAGCATGGGCGACAACTTCACTGCTTGTACATCCATGGTGATCACATGACAATCGCCGAAAATTGCCTCTTCTTTATACTGATTTTTTTCTAACCGAGCCCTGTCTTTGGATTGACAATGTTTCATCCACTCTGATTCTGAAATATTTCCGGCTTTGAAGGCACAACAGTCATTGCACTGGCCTTTTCTTGGTATGAAAATAGCCAGGTTCATGACATCGAATTCATTTTTTAGTGTTGTCACTGAGTGAACTATTTGACCATTTTGTTCACTATGATTTTGGTATGCTCGATACAAATCGGCAATACTATTGAATTGTTGTTCCAAGTACAACTTATCTGTATCTTTCCGGCAGTAATGAGAGGGTAATTTTGGTAAGTCTCGAAGGAATAATTTCATTGAATTCAATGACTCACTATGAGGATTCCTACGTGGTAAACGTTTCTGACTGATTGTATCAGTACTCTCTAACATTCCATCCCTAGAAGAAAGGACCCCATTCCGAATTGACCATTCTCCAAGACTGAGAGTATCCAAGTACATGGTCTTGCACACCGGAATAAACTTGTCTTCCTCTCTGATGAACTATTTCCAAGTTTCTGATCTTCTTGAGGAATTTGCTTCGACTCTCCTCTTCTTTGGAACTTCAGATTTCACAGTGAGGCAGACATACATCTTTCGTTGTTTCCACGACAGACCAGATTTTCTCGAAAATTTTCAGTCTAGATTCGTCTGAAAGTAAATAACATTTTCTGGAAGGTTCTTTTTAAGTGTTTTTATTTTCGCATCTGCATCGTTCTCTCATTTTCTTTTCCCCTCTTTCTGTGTCATGTATTGTTCTTTTCTGTCCTCGTGGTCGTCTATATCTCAAATATTTTTCTCGTTTTTCTCACAGTTTTTTATTTACTATCCTTTTGTTCACTCCTCTGACACGATATTTTTTGGTGTTTTGTCTTTCCAAACCGTCTTGCTGTATACTCTCAGGCTGGGGATCAGGTTCGTCGTCGTTTTCATTGTCGGTCTCAGAATTGTGTTCACATTCATTGTCTGAACCTGGATCAGGAATATAGTCAGGGTCCATTTTATCATCATCGAGTTCTTCCGATACTGATGGTTTTTGTATGGTAAATTCATTATCAATCATGGATAGATCTTGAGAATCTTCCATTATATTCAGATTGCTCACGACAAGGTCATTTTCTCTGATCTCAATCTCATGATCTGATAATGTGCCATCCAGTGAGAAAATAATATCAGAAATATCATGATCATGAAAGTCACTAGCTATCTTGTGCTTTCTTGATTTCCCGTTGTAGATTTTCGTGGGGTGATAATATTGCAGGTATAATAACTATCCAGATATTTTCTTACAACATTATCTTGTTCTGCCTGAACTTCTTGATTTTGTGTTTTCGCGTGCAAGTGAGTCAAGAATCGGAGAGGAGAAAGATGCGTTGATTGGTTCAGCTAAGGATAGCCGTTGGCTAGGAATTTGGATTTGTTTGTTGGAACTGGTGGAATAGCTCATAATTTTCTGGGTTCGCGATGATACTGAAAATAACAATCAGATGTCCTGATGATACTCTCAATATAACACACGACCTATCCATGAGCATGATAACGTTTGACCAGGATTAGTTAGCTCAAGGTTCCGGTGATGACACTAAATAGGAAAACCAATAGTTGAACTATAGATGTTGAAAAATGATTCATGTGTTGTGAATCTGTGCTCGTGAAGATTGATAGGTAACTGAATAAAATCACTTTGATACCGGATTGCGTCAACATCAAAAATTACCTTCTTTACGTTATATGATGTTCTTATGTTTTGAAAAATCATCAATTCCGCTGTTATACATTGTAATTCCAAGATAAACTTGAATTCAAATGCACGGAAGTAGCATCAGATCATTCTCATTTCTAAAATGCAGTACCTCGTATGATCTAAAAATTCATGTTCCTCTCTTTTACCGGGATATTATAATGTTACTTTTGAATTCAGGCCTGAACAAGATAGTACTGAATCCATTCTCGAGAGTTGATTCATATAACATGAGTTAAATCGTGAAAATAAGTATAATAAACTCTGAGAAATCACTCACCCGCCTTTTCTGCTCCAACGGTCGCTAGAATGACAGCGCGCAATGAATTTACGAGGTATTGCATCTTATAAAATATAACGGAACTTCCGAGGTAATGTTTCCGACATTATCGGGAGCTTATTATGATGAATAACTTCAACTACTCTCTGTCAGATGGCGCAGCATCACCCATACTTCAATAAACAAATATAACATCATTTTTGGTCGAATTGGAACTTCGCTTTCACACACGTGCGATTCTATGACTATGGTAGCAGTGGCGGCTCGTGACTTTCATGACAGAGGAGGCTGAATGATATGAGATTCATTGTTAAAAACAACTCTCTACGAATCACCCAAATCAATAGCTTTGATGACATTCTGTTTACCAGTTGATCTGAACTCAATACTTGAAGAGATGTGTTCCTGTGATTTGCAATGTCTATCCAATCCGCGAGGCAAATTTTTCAAATCATTATATCCTAATCGCCCCCAACATAATGACTTATCGGTTACGCAGTACCAACAAAATAGCTTATTCCTTACCTCAGATCCCGTCAACCAGATATATTTTTCATAATTATAGGAATTGAACGAACGATTTCGTTTGTTACCTGTTACAATCAGATTTTTTGATTCCGGTGTCGGACGTTCGTTTTTCACAATCAATTCATCTTTATAAGACAAAGCACTGAATGAGTTCACCAAAAAGTATTTCACTTAATCGCAATCATTTAAATCACTCATTTTTTAGAAATCAATGGAGCCCCTAACCATTAACCTAACATAAACATAAACAATGCACTTCCGCTGGATTGTCCGAAATTCGCGACGCGACACGACAAACACGTGCTATTCAGGCGTAGCCTTCTATAGATGTTGTCAAGTTGAATATTTTACGCGTGATATGCAGACTTCAATGTGAGATGCGTGGGCAAGCACTGTTGCCAATTCAAGAATATTCACCTGAAAACAGGTAATAAAATCAAAATCTATGTATTTTGGTGTCCTTTCAATGAGAAAGTATAGATAATATCAGTTTGAGGAGAATATCTGGGGAGGCTCAGCCTCCGTTGTATGGTAGTAGGTACTCACTAGATTACTTATCCAATAGGAAGGTACACCAATACATTTTTGATATTTTTGTCACGAATAAAATTGCGAAAATGAAAGTTTATGTTGCTTATAAGAAAAAAAAAACATCAGGGTCTCATACAACTTTTTTTTATTTTGGAAACAAAAATTTGATGGTTGGCATCTTCATTGGATATGCCTCATTATCTATATAAAGAATGGAAGTTATTATACTACAATTCTACTCATGTTTCTCATAATGGTGAAACCATAATCGTGGCACTTGATATCTCCGAAGTATTCGATCGAGTCTGGCACCACGGACTCCTCGCCAAGCTTCCATCTTATGGCTTGCCTTTCCAGCTATGTTCTCTGCTAGTAAGTTTTCTCTCAAACAGGTTTCTTCATGAAGTGGTCGACGGAGTTTCATCTGACTTTCTCACCATAAATGCTGCTGTTCCGCAAGGATCAATTCTAGCACCAACAATATTTCTATTCCATATCAACGATTTGTTGAAAGCAACTTCATGTCCAGTACAAAGCTTCGCGGATGATAGTACCCTCCATACCACCTTCTCTTCCAGGGCTCCAATACCAGGAAGAAATGTTGATAACATAAATATGGACTTGGCAACAATTCTCGAATAGGGATCCAATAACTGTGCCTAATATGAGCATGTCCATTTCGATGCTTGGCATTACTATCAGCAATAACCTTCCTTGGGAAAATCACGTGAGATCAATCGCGAAAAGTGCATCCCAAAATCTTGGTTTTCTGTTTCGAGCCAGGAGCTATTCCACTTCCAGTTAGCTTCTTATGATCTATAAGGCACAGATCCGTCCTGTCCTGGAATACTGTTCGCATATTTGGAGTGCAGCACCCAAACAAACCCTGAAAATGTTGGAATTTGTTCAAAAAAGGGCAATTCGTCTCGTGGGTGATGCCTCGCGCACAAACTCACTCACTTCTCTGGAACACCGTTCCCTTGGCAAATCCCCGCGAGATTAACCCGTCGAGTTGAGGCTTTGTGGTCACTATGAATCTCTTCCCAAAGACTCATCCATCCATCGAACAGCGAGGCTGTGGAACACATAGCCAAGGGAGGTGTTTTCCGAGGCATATAACCTCCAGAAATTTGAGAAGAACACCAATTCCTACCTTATTTTCCTTGGTTATCACGATGTTCTCTGAACATTATAGAATATCCCTTTCCGTGAGAACCAGAACATGGAAAAAAATTTGAAAGTAGTATGATAATTATTCAATTCATATTGTCCATGGGGTATTGGATATATTTTTGTTTCGAATCATGCAATGATACACGAAAATCATCAGATAATAAACTGTCAACATACATTATATTGAAGAGTTGGGAATCACATGGTTCTGAATACAATGGAATGCAATTCAGAAATGTTCTTCTCATCATATAGATTTCGTTGGAAATAGTAAAAATACAGTTGATTGAAAATATGGTATTATCCTTCAACATGACACAATTGTCTCTGTGTTTAATAATAACTTGAAAATCCTTCCAAATCAACGTTTAATAGCATCTTACGTGTTCAAGAAGTCTTAGATTATTCTTTTGTTCATTCTTCAATGTAGGGTAATTATTTTTGATTTCCATAATGAATTGTTGTTTTTCTTTCAACCTATTGTCACAAACTGTAGGCGGGGATTGCCTAAGTTGTGTTCTAGATCCATTAGAGAATGAACTTCAAAAGTGATAATAACAAATAATACTCAAAAGGGTTTTCGAACAACACATATACACACATTTATTCTTTGCTTTATGATTAACAATCAATAAAAACTTAACTTACCCTATATTTACAAATTAACTGATATTTCTTGGGGCCGAACTCCGAAGATTCAGGCACAGTGGCAACTTTACAAACTTACAATCAGTAGAACTTAGACTTCCCTAACTCGTATAACGAAAACAGAGCTAGAGCTCGAAATATCAGTTGAACTCGCAGCCTTACCGGTAGTCGAACTGTCGAACCCGCTTCCTTGTCTCACCATTTCATTCGAGCCGATAGACCAACTAGAGGAGGAGGAATAGCTTTTTAGGTCAGTAAACAAATACAGTATAAGGTCTTGTTTTTCCAAATTAGCCAAAATTTAGAACAACTTTGGATATCAACTACTTTCAACACTAAAACTTTTATCTTTGGAGTGCTTTATCGCCCTCCTTCAGCTGATATCAAGCAGTGTTTGCATGAATTGGAAGACAGTGTTGCGAACCTCTTTCATCAAGTGATCTTTTTTTAGTTGGAGGGGATCTAAATATCGACTGGCTCACTTTAGACAGACGATGTAAATTTTTTCGAGACTTTCTGAACACTTTCAATTTCAAACAACTGATCGAAAAACCTACTCGGATGACGAATAATAGTCAAACGTCAATTGACTTCATCTTCGTGTCTGATAGTGAACAAGTGTCTACCATCGAGGTGATTGATATTGATGGAATATCTGATCACATGGCCGTATCTTGTCTTCTCAACATATACAAATCAGTGAATGAAGTCAAGATGAAAACTTTTCGGTGACTTTTCTAAATTTCAATTGAATACATTTCGCTCTGATCTTGAACTAAAGCAATGAAATCAAATTTACACATTACATAACTCAGATGAAATGCTTAGCTATCTCAACTTCAACTCAATCAAAGTTTTTGACAGACACGCGCCTCTTGTGAACAAACGGGTAAGTAAACCACCTGCGCCATGGCTCACCTACAATATTAAATAGATGATTGTATTGAGAGATCGAGCGATGCAGAGATTCAAGAAAAGTAAATCCATCATTGACTGGAATAGCTACAAGGATCTGAGAAATTATACCACTGGAGCAAAGTCAACTTGGAACCCTCTTAGATCTCTTGATATCTTACGGAAGAAAACTAGCTCTGAAATTCCCGTATAACTGAGAAAAGTCGATTGCATCAATTGTCATCTAAGTAGTAATACCTACCCTGAAAAAACAAACTCTCAATAATCCTTACTCGACCGATACGATAATATGATATCAGAGAATCATTTTCGATTTCTTACAAT